GTGTGTTGGGTTGGCATCTCTCTTGCTGGAATTGGTTGGTCGATCGATCTTTTTTTGTTCGATTTGGTATGTCTACGATTGCGTTTGAATTCTTTTACACATTGTTTTATTATAGTTCTGCATTTAGGTGTATTCGTGTTATTATGTTGGCGGCAATACGTGATTTTTGTCTTTGTTCTTTTACTTGATTGTAATATGTTATTTCTTTGTTTTTGTTATTTTACTATGAGCTCTCTCTTGACTGTAATGAGACATGGGGATGGCTGCATATTTGATAATAACATGAAATCTGTTCAGGGATTTAATTCCAAATCTTTCAGAGCTCTCAATTTGTGGCTCAAGGTGCATTCTTCAGAGTTTGCTATACTTTTTTTTTTTTTTTTGCACAGCAAAGAAGTAAGATTGATTTAATGGAGTACACGGGGTACTCCTACCTGTGTACATAAGAGGTAGACAATGAGCATCCACTGACTTCGGCTAACCAAAAACAGCACCAGCTAAATAAAATGGCCAAAGTCAAATAGCTGCTCAGTGATACATGCTAGAAACCCACATCAAATTAAAACATGCTACTGAAAACTTCGTTTGGCCTTAAGGCTTAACAACGGTTCAAGCATCCATTCGTAGAAATTAAAGGAGTAACCCGATGTCCTACTCTTAATCCAACTAAAAGCTCTTAGTTGCACTAGCTCAAAAATTCTTTCCTCATCACATACTTGGTTTTTGAAAATTTTTCTATTTCTAGCCATCCAAAGAGACCATAAGGTGGAGAACCATACCACATCCCATCCAGCTTGAACTGATGAGTCTTTTATGGGAGACCTGTGCTGCTCGAAGTCCTCTTGGCATGACTTTGGGTGAGCCGTGAGAAACCTCCACCATCTTGCACATTTGCTTCTTACTGAGTGAGCCACTCTACAATGAATAAACAGATGATTGGTATCTTCAATGTCATCATCACACAAACCGCACATCAGGCTATTGTCAGGAATAATTCCCCTCTGATACAAGTTGAGCTTTGTGGGTATTTTATTCTGCAGGACTTGCCAACCAAATGCACTGATTTTTGTGGGAATGAGTTTGCTCCATGTCCCTTTATGCATCTGAGTTCTGCTGTTGTCGATGTTATTGGATAGGAGACCGTAAGCTGTTTTGACTGAGTATTCTCCTTCTTTGTTGTGTTTCCACTCCCAGTGGTCTGTTTGGTCTTTGATTGGGTGTAAGTTGTTGATTAGTCCCAGCATCTCGGTGAGATTGTCTTTCTCCCACTCATACAACGATCGTCTCCAATGAAGTGTCCACTGCCAGGTGTCTTCCCTCCATACTCCCATTTGAGAAATTCTCTTTTCTTTATCTGTGGAAGCGAGATATAATCGGGGAAATCTATTGGTGAGGGATTGATCTCCTGTCCACATATCCTTCCAAAAGTTGACATTCTATTCAGAGTTTGCTATACTGTTGCATCTGCTCTTGTTGACGCCAAGCAATTTTGGTTTTTGGGTTTTTCCTTTTCAGTCACATAGTGGGATTAGAAACATGAATTGTCATCTTCCATTCATGCTTGCCAGAGGCTGGCTTTCTTTTATCTTTTCTGATTTAATATTTTCTTTACTCCAG